AAAAGGTGGTGTCTATTTACTTGTGACCATGCTGTGTACATACATACAGAATCAGGGTACAGAATCAAATACAAAGTACAAATCTAACCATATTACCAATATTTTGGCTATCATACATTACACATATATTTACTTATAAATGCTTAAATTTTAATTTTGTTAGAACATGAACAATAAATAAAAATTACATAAAAAACAATTATTTCTAGTACTTACGATAAATTACAGTCATAGAAAAATATTTTGCCCTCGTGTGCCTTTAGTGCTAAGCTTCGTTTATGTTTTCGAGTGGAGGGTGAAGAAATATAATTTTTGTAGGCTTCGAATATACATTTTAGAAAGAAAAACTCTATCACTCTACTAGTAGACCCCCAAATAGCTGTAACTTGCTTGGGTTTATAAAGTATATCTGTGTTAAAAATTTTTTATCTCTGTTCAGAACAGCAACTTGGTCATCACCATTCAACAGTTTTGACAAAATTATGATTTTCTCTTTCAAGCTCTTTACAAACAACTGTCAGAATCACGTAAAGCACAATTTCTCCTTTCTATTGGTTATAAACAGACCCTTAAGAAAAGTAGGTGGAACAAAACAACTGGCAACTGAGTTTAGAAAAAATAATACTGCTAAAGAAAAAAATAGCACTATGGGATATGCCTATTCCACAAATAGACTATAGTCATGTAATAACAGTTGAACTGTATAAATGATGTTGACCAGATATATCGAATCTTGGCTCCACTGAAACTATTGATAATGATCTAAATGTCAACCCCTGTTTTTGCAAATAGCAACCATTTCTTTAAATTTTAAAACTCAACCTTCACAGTAAGTGCAGGTAAACCATGAATACAGTACTTTAAAGCCAAAATGAAAGTTCAATAAAAACATATGTACATAAAATGAATGCATTGACTAATTAACCCATATTATTAAAATCCATGAACTTGTGCTAAATGTAACAATTTATTTCAATACAAAAAAAATCTATCTGAAGACAATAAAAAATTTCTATTCCATTCACATGTAATATAATCTTGATATACAAATTTGACAATTTCTGAAATATATTTTCAAAATCTGTAATTTACAAAGCAAAATGTAAATCATACCTCTATAAATTATTAGTTCATAGCTATTGGCACAACCAGGGTCAGCTTGTAAGAGTTGAGAGAGCTCATGATAGAAGTTAATCAGCTCTTCTGTATACTTGACTGGAGAAGGACCACAGTTGGAAGCTTCACACATATCTCTCAAACTCAACAGTGTTGTTACTCCTTCCACACAACATCTTACAGACTGCAGAAAAACAGAATTTTATTAACTATTATACTTTATTTAACCATTTTTAATAATTCATATTGTTGAAAAACGTCACAAATTCAAGTTTTCTACCTAAAAGGTATATACATCAGAAAATATTCTAGTGCGGCAAAGTTTACAGTGCCTACAATACTGTGAAATAATAATAATAGTTTTGTGTTTTGATGAGTGAATGTTATTAGTAATTGAAGAAAGCTTTTTGGAGTTTCAAAAAAAAAATCTTCCATTTATCAACATTTTTATCAACAGAACTATTATTCTTTTTTATCTAAACCAGAATGATGGATTTAAATACCAGATATTTTTTACTTTCAATTTAATGAAACATATAAATATACACATACACACACACACACACACACACATATATATATATATCAGTATTATACAGATACTTAATACTTTGATTAATTAAACTAATTAGATCATCAGTATATCTATAGTTTAAATTACAAGAATTGTTTGTGCCCACAGAAAGCACAATAACCTGTCTATATGCAATTATTTTTAAATACAATAAATTTGTAAATAGAAAATAGAGTAACTAATATTATATTTTTTTTATCTTTCTTATTATTAATGAGTTGGAAAAATTAGAGAATTAAACAGATTTGAATAAATAAAACAGCCACAAAATCTAAACCTCTACCTACATCATTCAGAGACATTTTAGTAATATATAGTCATAAAAGTAAGTTCAATAATGTGAGTACAGATTTACATTTCTTAGTTCATTTAGCTAGGTGTATTAATACACAAGTAGAAATTCTACATGAAAAAATATGTTGTGTCTGTTAAATAAAGAATCTTAACTGCAAACATACATGTGTACATGAAATATATACACCTGGAAAAAAGTTAAGCACCCCCAAATATTTTTCAGGATTGCTTATTGAAAATAAG